CTGGTTTCAGTGACCACTGGGCAGGTTGTCTCGCAGAAAGACTGAAATTGGCGAAACGAAACAACAAGACGAAGTCTAAAAACGGCGACGGGAGCTCTCGTGGTCGAGAGTCTTATAAAACTACAGTCATAACGATGTGTCCAGTAATACTAATTAGCATTAATGGACACATCGTATGACCCCTAGTTAAGGTGTTCGCCTCTCATTCAATAGGTCCCGGATTCAAATACGGATAGCGACGGAAAATTTGCGACTCTAAAACTTTCTCCTTTGGCGTCCTTTCCTGCTCTCTAACAAGGTTCGATCGTCTCATTGCTTTTATTGTCTCCACTTTCTGCCCCCACCCCTCTACTCCTTTGCCCCCTCCTCTGGGCTACTGACTCCTTCTGAGGCTTTTCTACTGCTACTCCTTGGCTCCTTCCTACTGGTGTCTTTCAGTCACACCCAAGATCTTACGGTAGCTAAGATTTACACTCAACCCTCTCGGATAAGGGCGAAAAATCTCGGAGGCCTCGTGTGCAAGCAGCACAAGCTAAATATCCATTGGTGGTCCAAAATCGATAAGAGTAGTCTTCGGCCGTCACCCGGGCAAAATTCTAAATTCCCTATATACAAAATGAAAACGTTTAATGTGTCTCGTGCGCTCATATTATGACCTTATGGGGTTGCAATTAATCGCCGTAAAACACAACCCCCCCCCCAAAAAAAACAACAACAACAAACAAACAACCCCACCACCAACAACAACAACAAAACAACAACAACAACACAACAACAACAAACAAACAAAAAACAACACCAACAAGAACAATTTTTTTAAAATCCCCAAGCAAACAAACAACGGCGAAACAAATAAATTATAACCAGACAAAGACTGAAAAAGGTGTAACTAAATAGACGAACAGGACTATAAAACGGCGCAACTAAATAGAAGAACAAGAATGTAAAAAGGCGAAACAAATTAATTTAACAACAACGTGACTTCAGAGGGGTTTGCATGGGTATAAATCTAAGTCTTAAAAGACGAAACCACATGAAAATCACAACAAGACATTTTAATATAGAAGTCTGGCGTCGACGTAAGAAAGGGTGGGCTGATGAATAATTTATAGAAGAAGAACGTTGGAGGTTATAGTGGTTTTATCATGATTACATGTTCTGTCATGTCAGTTAGGCAGGTCATAGTTTCAGTTTGAACTCTTTTCTTCCCCATTCTCTCACATCTTCCTACCCCCTCCCTCTTCTATTTCTCTCCCC